TGCCCAGCCTAGCAGCCCCTAGAGCCTTGCAGGTTTCACTTGCTGTGTAGAAGCTCAGGTGTTTTGCCGTGGCTTCTCCTAGCTGAGTGTCAGGCCCCACCAGGGCTCAACAGAGCTGCCATGTGAGACTCCTACCCCCTCTCTCCTAGCCTGCCCTGCTGCCTCCTTGCTTGGGGCCTTGCACAGAGTTTGCCTTCATTTGCTCTAGTTTTGCCTCACTCCCTTCTGCATCTGCCTAGTGCCCCTGATGTGGCAGTCCCTGGAACACTTGCAGCCCTTCACTACTCCAGCCTGGGGTATCAAGAGGCAAGAGCCTGAGCTGGTGGTGATGAATGGATGTACCCCTCCTCCATAAACCTGAAGCCCAGTCGAACTCAAAACTCATCCTCTAGTACCACAGTTGGAAGGCCCAGAGATAGAATCATCAGTAAAGGTCAGGAACCTGGAGGCGGCAATTTGATGTGGAAAACAAACAGACAAAGCAGTATGTTTGCTACCATTTATTTGCTATGTGGTATGTACTCAAGGCATGTACTCAGGGCTACTGTCCTATCCTCTGGTTCCAGAAGAGAGGGCAGGCAAGAAGGAGAGCCCAAGGAGAAGCTACCCCATCATGGGGAAACTGTAAGGAGTTACAGGAGCACACAGAAGACCCAGGCATTCTGCTCTGAATTCTAGCAAGTCCTCCTGCCCTCAGTCATCAGGGGTTTCCTATCCTCCCATCCTGTGGTCCCAGGTGCAGCAATGGAAGGGGAGGGGGGGAGAGAAAACGAAGAGAACTCAGCACTGAATGGAGGCCCTTTGTTCTGCATGGCTGTTTGGCCTAGGCTTTAACTACAGACAAAACTGGGTGTAGGTGGCCTGGGCAAGAGCTGTGGAGTGGTGTCGGTGCTCAGTAGGCATGGTTGGCAACGTAGAGGGACTGTGCTGCAGCTCCCCCATCTTCCCCACTGCCTTCATACTTGCCTTGGGCTGCAAGCCCATTCACCTGTAAGATGGGAGAAAGAAGGGAGAGGTATGTGAGGGAGAGCAGCTGGACACAGGTTGAGAAAGCTCTGGGTGCTGCCCCCCGCTCAGCAACATATCACCCCTTTAGTTCCTAACCTCAGCCCGCTTGATGAATTCCTCAGTGGCTGCCCCAGCATTGTCCTGCTGCCCTCGCCAAGTGTTGAGTGCAGAGGCCTGCAGGGCACGCCCATAGGAGAACGTGAGGGCCCAGGGCCGGGGAAGGGGGCAGCGGTTGATGGCATTAAGGTTGAGAGATGCCTCCTCTTCACTTTGACCTCCTGACAGGAAGGTGACACCTAGGATGGAGGAGAGAAGACAAATGTATTGGCCATTCCCTTATTCCCAGGGTGAGAGACCCTTGAAGAACCTGAGGAGGTCCTTAGCAGGGTGGTACCTGGGACAGCTGGGGGCACAGTGCGACGCAGGGCAGTGACTGTGGCCATTGCGATCTCCTCTGGGGTATACTTGATGGGACAGGCATGGCCAGGGGTCACCATGTTGGGCTTCAGCAGGGTCCCCTCCAAGTAAACATGATGGTCACTCAGGGCTTTGTACACAGCAGCCAGGACCTGGGGATCAGAGGGATCAAAGTTTCTGGGCACCTTACTGGTCCACTTACCACTCTACATTTCCTTTTCAGGGGCTGGGAGCCACAGATTATGTGAGGGTTCAGTAGAGGCTCAGACCCATAGGCCTGTTCTGCGATCAAGTTAAAAGAGTTCTTGGGAAAGTACATCTGGATCTGAATCAGGGGCTATGGGGAACAGACTCCCCTGTCGAGTTGTCCCTGGGGTATGTTTCTGGGCAGACTCACTTTCTCTGTAACATACTGGCAACGTTGGAGGTCATGGTCTCCGTCAGGCAGGATTTCAGGTTCCACAATAGGCACAATACCATTCTGCAGGTGAAAGAGTGGCTTGGGAGGGGCAATAGGTAAGATGGGAGGAAGGCCGAGTAACCCTCTCCCCACCAGGCACAGGACACACATCTGACCACCCCCCACACACCTGCTGGCAGATGCTGGCATAGCGGGCCAGCACGTTAGCATTCTCCAGAATGGCAAGTGCTGAGGGCGTACGCTCGCTGATTTTCAGCACACAGCGCCACTTAGCGAAGTCAGCGCCGTCCTTCTTGTACTGGGCACAGCGTTCTGAGAGCCCATCCAGCCCTGCAGACACAGTGCCAGCCTCATCACCCTGCCCCTCTTTTGCCAGTAGCAACCTTCCAGCACCCGTGTGGTCCTAAAGCCTATCCACCCTGTACCTTGAGTGGTGGTTTCTCCATCAGTTCCAGCTAGAGGCACCACACCCTTGTCGACCTGTAGGGGGCACACATGCAGACTGCTGAACCTAGGCAGGATTCCCTTGCCACCCCTCCCACCCAGGGCCCATGGCTGCACCTTGATGCCCACGACAATGCCCTTATCCTGGATCATACGGACAAAGGGGACGCCATTATCATCTTTCTGGTAGAGGGTCTCATGGAAGAAGATGACGCCTCCAATGCACTTCTTCACTCGGTCGTCAGCACTGAACAGGACCTGGCGGTACAGGCGGCGGTTCTCTTCCGTGTTCTCTACCCCAATTTGGCTCAGCCGCTTAGCCATGCTACCTGGAGGCAAACAAGGAAGGTCAGCAAAGCGTCCCCAGGCCTCTCTGAATACCTCTACCCCACCTAGTCACTGGCCTCCACCTACCTACAGACTCATCTGCAGCCAGAATGCCTTTGCCTGGAGCCACAATCCGGAGGGCAATGTCAGACAACTCCTTCTTCTGCTCAGGAGAAAGCGCTGGGTACGAGTGGGGCATGGCGACGGCTCTCTGGAAAGGACAGAGCACTCTAGGATGGAGACAAGACCCACTGCCTCTTCTGCTTCCTCTCCCGGCCAGAAGGGCCAAATGGCCTGTCCCCCAGCATGGGCTGGGAAGACAGCAGTCCTTGGCATGGGTCCTGGCCATCAAAGTGGCACCAGGCTCTCTGACAGCTAGCAGGCTTAGAGCCCCAGTTCCCACATGTCCTTTTGTCCCTGGTAGGCACTCTTCCCAGCCCCAGGGAAAGATGCAGGGTGGGGGTGGGGAGGTGAGCAGCTACAGGTCTTGCGAAACTGCTTCTCTATTGACTGACGCTAATCCTTCTTCCACTGAATTCAGTCCCTTCCTGAGGTAGGCATAAATCTTGGCCTTTCTAACTTCTCTTTTCATCCTCAACAGGGCCATTAGAAAAACTGCACTTACAAGGCTTGAGAAGGAGGCAAAAATATGCATCATCCCCCCATTACCCCTTCCCTCAGCTTCTGGAAAAAAACAGTTCAGAGGAGGGGGGCAGATAGGGAGTAGGAGTGGCAAAAATGACAGTCATGGGCTCTATAACCTCTTTTTTTCCCCACATATCTTAAGTCTATTGACTCTCACCACCTCAGGGCCAGAGGTTGGCCCCAGGGGACTGCACAAATGTTGCGGGGAAGAGAGCCAGCAGGTCAGCCAGGTTCGTGTGGGAAGACTGGGGGGAGTGACACCATCAGGCCGTCCCCAGTGCCCAGAAGCATTTGCCCTTTGTGGATGGAGGAATGAGTTCTCGATTTCCCAGAACTCAAGGCAACCAGAGGGGAGATAGGGGAAGAGGCTCAGGAGGAATGAGTTGAGAGCCTGAAAGACAGAGCGAGAGATGCAGGAGGGACAGAGAGAAGACTGGGAAGGTGATGGTGAGACAGACTAACCAGTCAGGGGGAAGAACCTAGCCCAGAAGGGCACAGGAGGCAAGAGAACTGGAGAGGGACCCTAGCCTAGGAGGGAACAGAGATTAAAATGGTCTGGGTGGAAGAGACTGCCCTTAAGGAAAAATCCAGGAGGCAGAGGATTTGGGATTAGGAAAACTGAGCCTGGCAGGAGAACTAAGCGGAAGGGGGGAGTGGGAGAGGCAGAGCTATGGCGCTTTCAGAAGGAGCGAAGGTTTAAGGAGAGTGCTGAAAAGGTACACGCATCCCTCTCCAGGGAGCAGGAAGGATGGAAAGAACCAGGGAAGAGAAGCAGCGATGCTGGGAAGCTCCCGCCTCTCCCCTTTCCCATCTCCCGGGGCCTCACCTGTGCGCAGCGAGTTCGCAGCGGCAGCCAAAGGAACGGCTCGGGTCTGGTCGGCAACTGCTGTTGCTCCAGCCCAGGCTCTGGTAAATGAGGCTGCGGATGCCGCAGAGCTACGTGACTCCCCCTGGGGGCGGTGCCGGCGCCTCCCCGCCCTGGTCACGCCCCCTCCTGGGACTGGTGTCCAGGGGAAGGCCACGCCCACGGGGGCGGGGCGAAAAGGTGGAGTGACTACCCCACCGGGACCTCCGAGGCCGTGTCTTGGGCTGACCCACTCCTACCCCAGTGGAGCTCTGTCACTAGGGCCCCAGAGACAGGAAATGGGCTTGCCCTCATTTCTACCACAATCACTTTTCCCATGTGCTAGGCACTGTGCTGGCTCTTGGGGATAAACCCAGTCCTGTGAAGGAGTAACTGAACAGTTATAATAGGTAGGGTAGGTGGAACAGAAGCACCAGCAAAGTGCTAGAGGTCAGAGAAGGGAGTAATGAACTGAGCTTTTGGTCCCCACCCCCTTATTCACCAAGGCCTACCCCAGGAGGGTGGGGGAGGTAGGAGAATGAAGCCTTTTTTTGTTTTCCCCAGGCTGTGAGCCAGGGAACAAGCAGTCCAGTAGTGCCCAGAGTATTTGGGGAAGCAAAGGAAGGACCAGGGGCAGGCAGCCATGGCTCTGGCTGCAGGGGGAGGTGGAGAGGGGTGCATTGAAGGTGACCAGGCAGGAGGGCCAAGCTGCCCATCTCCTGACCTCATCCCCCCCACTGCCCCAGAACAAAGATTTAGTGAGCTTAAAGAAATAAATTTACACTTTATTTAAATAGCTTTAAACATGGGTGGCTCTATTCCAATTGGTCCTGGTGTTGGGGTAAGGGGTATTGCAGGTCAAAAGCAAGGAAGCAAATTCCAGCTTTCAGTTTCTCAGCTTAGAAATTCCAGCAATTCCTGTAGCTCCTTGCAACCCCTCACCACCTCTGGAATGGACCGCAGAGTCTAAAAAAGGAGAAAGAGAAAGGTAGCTGAGGCCACAGGGCCACAGAGATGCCTGTACCAGCAGTCAGGCCATGCTCTCAGCATAGGCTGGAATCACAGCCTCCTTTCATCAGTAATTCCATGGGCCAGGCCTTGTACAATATGCCTTAGTTATATCAAATCCCTCCATCTTTACCTCATAAATATGCTGTACAATGTCATCTAGTTTCTTTAACTCCTTGTCAGAAAGCCGGAGGTTCTCCTCCAGGATGCTTCTCTAGAAAGCAAATAGGTTCCGTAAGTCCTATGCTTAAAACAATAGCATAGCTTGGTAGGGCAGGGAAAATATGACAGGCTCTTGCTAATGCTGGTGGGAAATGGTCCTCACACGGGAATTCTTACATGGCTCTGGAACTTGACCTTCAGTTGTGCCTTCTCGTCTTTCATCTCCAGGAACATCACTCTCAGCTTGTCCACCTATAAACATATCCAGATCAGCAGGGTCCCTACCAGTTGTCCAGCTTCTATGTTAACTCTACACAGCACTTTGCCCCTTTGGTGTTCCCAGCTTCCTCCAGATACCAGTCACCTCCTGGGTAAGCCACACTTTCTCCTGGATCCAGTTAGTGGCCATGGGCTGACAGTTGGGGTCCAGCTGGCCTGCCAGGGTCTCTTGGAGCACTTTAGCCTCTGTCTCTGCACGCCGAAGTGAGCGGGTAAGCTGGGCTACTTCCTCTCGGAGGCTCTGAGAATGAGAATAAAGACACGGATCTTAAAGGTCCTCACTAGCCTCTAATTCCATGTGGTGGACCAGTAAATCCAATTCCCATATTCGGGATCCTGGCTACTATTGATACAGAAGGCACAGGGCTGGCATCACGATAAACATACTATGAGCTCGCCACTCTTGTCTATCTGCTCTAGGATCTTCTCATTTTGCTGCTGTATCACTTCCTGGAGCTCCTTTTCATTCTGTGAGGGAAAGGAGGTGAAAAGGCACTGAGAGAGAGCTAGCTTCTTTGCAGCCCTTACCAGGAAACAGTACCTGACCCATGTTCAGCCCAGGTATTACCAAGTGGTAACACCCCAATACTTCCTCTAGTGTTAAGTCAGGCAAGGCATATTTCAGTGTTGAGAGAGTTCTAGAGTTCCTGTCTTCTCTCCTTCGTATGCCTCGGGAGATGGGTCAGCATATAGCTGATTCCCAAACGTGAAATGTCTGATCCCAGAAGAGTAGAACTAGGGCAGTGGTTGCAAAAACCCTACCACCCAGATTCCTGGAGAGAAAATGACTCCCAGTGGGCCAGTAGAGCTGCCCCAGTTCTTCACTGCCCCATTTCCGGGCCCCTCCTTCACCTTGTAGCGCAAACACAAGGTCTGGTTCAGCTTTTCTATGTCTGCTTCCTTTGTCCTCTGGGCCTCCCGATGCTGTTCTTCCTGGGCCTGCAGCCTATCCTGCAGATCACAGCTAGGGAAGGAAGGATTCGGCAATATTGCTGTCCTCTCAGGGACTGGCTAGGCTTTTGACAAACGGGGCTATCTTGCTTAACCTGCCCTCTCTCACCAAGACTGAATCACACTCACATTTTCTGCTGCAGAGTCCTGACAGCTTCTTCTTTAGACTCTTGCAGCAGGGAACACAGACTCTGAAGCTCAAGAGTCACAATATGCATTTCTGCCAGGCTCTTCTCCATGTCTGGGGTCTCTAAACAAGAAAGTGCTAGATAGAGACAGAGGCCTTCAGCTGGGAAGGGAGGAGTGGGTAGCCATCATTCCCACAACTCTTATTTGTGTTCCCCACCCATAACATTTAAGTGTCTGGAACATTACAGATCCCAAAAGGCAGAAATAAAATAAGCCTGAGTAGAATTGAGGTTTTTAGAACAAAGCACGTCTCACTCATCATGGTCACCAGATTTTCTAGAAATGAGGCGGGATCCCTGGAGCCCATTCTAACCTGTAGGCTGCAGGGAAACCATGGATGTTACTCGGGTGAAAGCACTCTTGTCACTTCCAAGCAAGGGCACGGGAGCGGTCTCTGGCTCTATAACAAAAATCAACCACGGTAGAAGGCCTCTCTGGTGACCCAGTCAAGGGCTGGCCATAATGGAAGCCAGAGAGAGACAGGCAGGTTTGTTAGTGAGCATCTTTAACAGCTAAAGATATCTGGAGCAGGGTCTTAATTTTCCCACCCTCAAGTCCCAGGACCTTCCACCTTCATCGGTCCTTGCTGTCAAGATGCTTCCCAAGAAGGCGGTGTTATTGGGTGGAGGCTGTTCCCAGGCAGGAGCACAAGCTGTGTTCATTGAAAGGGGTTCTGGTTCAGCCTAAGGGAAAGTGAAAAAAAAATACCAGCTGTTCTTCAGAGTTAGTGATTTCCCTGAACTAACCAGCCATCTCCAGAATGCTGTCCTATTACCTCTCTTCTCTATCTTCAACTTTTCCATTAGCTCCTTTCCCTGATTATGGTTATTTTCTTTTTTTAAAATTGTGATTTGAAAGGTGAAAGTTTACAGAGCAAATTGGCTTTCCATTCAACAGTACATACATTTTATTTTGTGAGATTTATTGCAGTCCCTTCAATGTAATAGCAATCTTTCCACTATCCTCCTTGTGTTTACCACTTCCCCTTGTCTTTCTTTCCTATCCCTTCGGCCTTCTTAGCCTTATCCCTGGGCAAAGGCTGCCCTTTGATCTCTTATGGTTGATTGTTCTAATGAATGCACACCTTCCTGGTATTTTTGTTCATTTTCTAGGCCTGTCTATAGTTTGGCTGAAAGCTAAGTCACAGGGGTAAGTTCAGTTCCTGGCTTGAAAGATGTCTAAGGGCCAAAGTCTTAGGCATTCCATCAGTCTCTATCTGACCAATAAACCTGGTCTTTTTTATGATGTTAAGTTTTGTTACCCAGTTTTCTCCCACTCTATCTGGGACTTTCTATTGTGATCCTTTTCGGAGCAGTCACCAGTGGTAGCCAGGCACCATCTAGTTCTTCTGGTCTCAGGGTTGTGGAGGCTGGGTTCATATGTTCCATTAGTCCTTTGGACTAATTATTTCCTTGCATCTTTGATTTTCTTCAGTCTTCTTTGCTCCAGATGGGAAGAGACCAATAATTGCACCTTAGATGGCTGCTCACAAGCTTTTAAGACCCCAGTTGCTACTCACCAAAGTAGGATGTGGAACATCTTTGTAGACCATGTTATGCCAATTGACCTTAGTGAGCCCCCATGGCCAGCAACTCATTCCCTCAAGCTGTTCGGTTATGATTAAGAAGTTTTTATAATTTTGCCCCCTGTATGCTCTACTATATTCTTGGATATTTTTGTAGTACATTATAAATACATTTGTAGAAATACTCTGTTAAATCTATATATATTCATGGGTGTAGTCCCATTCACCTTCCCAAAACTGTTCAGCTTGAGTGTCTATGTATCCACTCATAGATTATTGTTAGTACTGTTTTTGCAGGATTCTGTATGTAATAGTATTTCCCTCTGTTGCCTTTAACTCTTGTCCTCTGCCCAATGCCTTCTTTTGCCTTATCATTGTGTGCTGACCTTCTCTTTATTTTATATTGCCTTTCTCTTCACCCAAATTAATATGTGTCTACCCTCTTGTTAGTGATTTATCCTCCCTTCCCCTTCTACCCCTGGTAACCTTCAAAGAATGATTCTTTCTATGTGTAAACATTTTCTTGACTTTTTACAGTAGTGGTCTAATACAGTATTTGTCCTTTTGTGATTGACTAATTTCACTCAGCATAATGTCCTCTAGGTTCATCCATGTTAGGAGGTGTTTTGCAAATTCATCATTATTCTTTAACATTACATAGTATACCACTGTGTGAATGTACCATAGTTCATCTATCCATTCATCTGTTGATGCTCATTTAAGTTGTTTCCATCTTTTTGCTATTGTGAATAATGCTGCAGTGAACACAGGTGTGCATATATCTATTCATGTCAAGGCTCTTATTTCTCTAGGCTACATACCTAGTAATGGGATTCCTGGATCATATGTTATTTCTATTTCCAACTTTTTAAGGAAGTGCCATACCATTTTCCACAGTGGTTGTACCATTTTATAGTCCCACCAGCAGTGTATAAGGGCTCCAGTCTCTCCACACCCTCGCCAGCATTTGTTGTACATGTTTGTTTTCACTAAAACAATTACTTCTACTTTAAATCCCCTTTTAGCTACTCCTTCTATTTAATAAATAATACATAATAATAAAAAAAACCCACTACACTTAATGCCTGTAATTTTTACTATCTATTTACCCTTCAGCTCACTACAATCAAGCTTCTGCCCTGTATCCTACCAAAATTCTTGTCATTTGGGTCACCAATGGCATCCTTACTTTTAAATGCAAGGAACATTTTTTGGTTCTTATTTTACCTGACTTCTTTGATACTGATGACCATGTTCTTTTAGACACTTCCTCTTCTTTACTTCCAAGGCATGACCCTCTCTTACTCATAGGTATGCCTCATTCCCTTCTGGCTATTTCTTCTCTCTTTCTGCAGGTCCTTCCTTAACTTCAGGGTTCCTCTGGGTTCAATCCTTGGCCCTCTTTTCACTCTCCTCCATTCCCTGGGTGGCCTCAGCCTGGGTGCTCCACAAAAACATCCACTTCACTTACCCATGAATGACTCCTCAATCTCTTTCTCAACTGGATTCTTTCCCAAGCTCCAGACCTAAAAGCTCAACTGCCTGTGAAAAATCTAGCAGAATGTCCCATCAAAAACAAAAAACAAACTCACTGCCATTGAGTTGATTCCAACTCATAGCAACCTGACAGGGGAGAGCAGAAATGCCCCTCTAAGGGTAGAGAAGGGAAGGTAAGAGAAGGAATCCCAGGAACCACTGTAATCTTTACGGAAGCAGACTACCACATCTTTCTCGTGGAGCAGCTGGTGGGTTTGAACCATCAACCTTGGCCCATACAGACCTCTATGATGATAACAATTTAAGATGTGAAATGTACAGCTGTCTGTCTTCCCCGTTAGACGGTAGATTCTTTAGCATTTCCTGTGCTCAGCACATAATTGAGGGAAAAGGTCAGACAGATCATAACCATTCCATAGTTCAGATTTCCTGGTTGTACCTTTAACTGTTAAATAAGCTAATTATTCTGAGAGACATCAACCATTTATTGTATAGTGCACACTTTGGTGGAGTCAAAGCTACAAGACTTAAGTTTCTGCTTCCTTTAAACAAAGTCTAGTTGATTCCAAGCAAAATTAATTCCAAAAACAAAATTTCAAGGGAAATTAATACAAGTAGAAAAGGAGAGTAAGTTCGTAGGGAATACGGCAAAAGAAGACAACACTGAATCCCCACACATCTGCTCTAAAGCAACTGCTCCAGAGTATTCCTTGCTCTATTGCCATACCCCAAGCCTTGGCATGGCTCAACTGCTTTCACAGAAGAAGGTGAACTAGGGAGGATTTTAATAGAAAATAAAAAGGTATTTCCAGTTTGAATATAGAGAATGGATGTGGTTACAGCCTCAGCCTGGGTGTGAATGAAGATGGGACATGTGCATTGTATATTAACTGTCTGGTAGGAGTAAATGGTTCATAATAAGGAAGTAGGAGACAGATGAAGAAAGGTTTGAATGACAGGCTGAAGAGGTGTGTAGGCAACTAGAAGTCACTGGAGTTCAGAGAGATGGAATAAGAACAGTGTTTTAGGAAGACCATTCTGTACAATGAAGATACAACTGGAAGGGAAGAGAAGGAATCCCAGAAATCTACCTTCTCCTTTAGTTTTTTCTGTAGGAAGAGGCCCAGGCTCTGTAGTTGCTCAGTTAGCACCCCCAGCTCATGGGAATACTGGCGTGTCTTCTCCAGGTCTTGTTCCTGGTTCTCTGCTACAATGCTAGCCAATTTAGCCCTGAAATAAGGAAGGAACAGGAAAGATGGCCAAGAACAAAGCTACTATCTCTGAATGCCTCCTGCAAATCCTCACATAGAACAGCACTCAAAGACAAAGACAAGAAAGAGGCTCTTGGGCTCTGTTACAATTCCCTTCTTGTAGACTATGGCATTTAGAAAAGTTCCTAAGAAAGACAGGCACTGAGGGGGAAGCACAGAAAGGACAAGATCTTACTTCAGGTTCTCTACAGTGTCCTTGAGATCCTCACACTGTAGACTACGTTCCCGGAGCACTTCCAGCGTGGTTTTCAGCTGACATTCAACCTGGCCCAGCTCTAGGTGAGCAACCTGATTCTCTTGGTCTGCAAACTGAGAAGAGAGGACAAGGAAGGGAAGGAAAAAAGAAGAATGGGGCAAAAATTGGGTCCAAGTGGAGAATTTTAGAACCTGGGGGATAGAGGCTTTTTTTAGTCCATAGTGTTAAATCTCACCTTAACAGCATTAGGCAAGAGTCACACTCCTGAAGTTTACTAGCTCCCCTGTCCCAAATCATATTCCTTACCTCCAGGGTCTCCTTCAGGTCCTGGACCTCCTTGCTCAGGACAGCCTGTTGCTGCTGCAGCTCTATCTGCATTTGTTTTAGTGCCATCTCTTCCTTTTGCCATCTGCCAGAGACTTTCTATTAGCTCCTTTTTGGCCCTACATCCTAAGTACCCACTACCACCATAACCTGATGGAACTCACCGAGCAGCCTGCTCCTCACTGCTCTGGGTGAGCTGACAGAGCAAGTCGTCCTTTACGGCCAGGTCCCGGGTACAGTGAGCATACTGACCCTGTAGTGCTTTTAGCTGGCTCTCCAAGCTGGCCAGAATCTGCAGCTGAGCCTGAAGATCTAGGCCAAAAGTATCCTAATGATTCCACATGGTTTCCAGGCCAGAACCTTCCTACATTTCTCCAAATCAAGTGCTCCAGAGCACTTCCTAGCTCTACCGCCACATCCTGAACCTTAGCAGAGCTTGCTCACACTCACCTGTTGCTAGACGGCTATTTTCCAACTCCAGTTGTTCCACTCGGCCTTTGCAGTCCTCTAAGTGAGTACGGACTTCTTCCAGCTCCCTGGAAACCTGGGAAGAAAAGACAGTTTTCCTCACACAGTTCCTCCTGAGTCAAGAATCCCAGGATTCAGCACAGCTTCTCTTTCTGGACAATACAGCAAGTCATTTTGCCCCTAGGCAGCAACACCAAAGCCAATTTCCAAATCCTTGGGAAAGTAGACAAGAGAAAAGCTACTGCAGTAAAGAAGGTCTGAAGGGCAAAGGAAACAACTAGACCCAAGTCCATCTGATAGGTAAAGGACCTGACTGGTCTCTAAACCTACAGAGTAGAAAGAAGGTAGGTCTAGGGTAAGAGGCCAATGATAATGATACCACTCATTAGAAAGGTCTTCTGCAGAAAAGAGGGAGGAAACTGGGCCTGAATAGTCCCCACTCCTAGTTTGTACCTTCTGCTTTTCTTCAACTGCAGCATCACGTTCCTGTAGGGCCTCCCGGCTCTTAGCTGCGAGTTTCCCTGTGAGTTGTTGAGACCGACTCAGCAAAGCTGTCCATGTTATATACTACCAGGGGAGGCAAGCAGGTCAGTACAACACATTTCAGCCAGGGTCCTAATGGGGCTGGCTGTGAGTTAAGTATGGTAGCCCCATATACTTACATCTAGTTGCATGGACATCCAGTCCTGTTGCAAAGTAGAAGCAAGACTTGCTGTCTGCTCAGCCAGCTCTTCTTGCTCTGCGTGAAGCCCTACCTACAGAAGAATTACCTATGGAAGGATTGCCACTGGACACAGCAAAGTGGGAGTATGTGACCATCCTCCCAGTGTGTCACTGTGGACTCCAGGAAAGAGAATCCCCTCAAATTACCAGTAGGGGCTGGGTCTCATTTAGCAGAGCTCTAAATTCCTGCCTGGTGGCCAGGTCCTGTTGCAGTTGGCTGATTCGCTGGCTGGCATGTGCACAGAACGCCTGGAGCACTGTCTCTGCCTGTTTAGGGAAGAGGTTATGAGGACAGAGTGGGCAGAAGAGAGAAACAGCACAAAAAGCTGAAACTACCTACGACCCCAGTAGTTTTGTTCTTTATTTCTGTCCCTCAAGCAGGCAGTTCTTAAGCTACTCATTTGTGTCTCAAGTAAATTTGTGTTCTAGAACTGACCTCCCACAAGTGGAGACTTTGAGGACATGCATAGGAAAGAGCACTGCCCACATCTAGGAACAAAAGCCTAGCACCTGTGATATGTACATATAATGGAATATTATTCAGCTATAAAAAGTAATAAAATTCTGATACACATGGATTAACCTCAAACATACTTGTGCTAAGTGAAAGAAATTAGGCACAAAGGGACAAATCTTTGTGATTCCACTTATATGAGGCACCTAGAATAGGCAAATTCATAGGTATAGAAAGTTTATTAGAGGTTACCAGGGGCTGTGGGGGACAGGGTAATGGAGAATTATTGCTTCATGGGTACAGAGTTTCTGTTTGGGATGATGAAAATATTCTAGAAATAGTGGTAATGATCATACAACACTGTGACTGTACTTAACACTATGGGATTGTATACTTAAAACTGGCTACAATGATAACTTTTAGGTTATACAAATTTTACTACAATAAAGGAAAAAGAAAGAAACATGACAAAGGAAGAAAAAAAAAAACCTGGCATCTTACCGCATCCTTGCCTCTGAGGGCCATTTCCTCTTTATGCCTTGCCTCCTCCCTCTCTGCTTTAAGGCTCTTGACCTTTGTCCTAGATTTCTTCAATATATCAAAGCAGCAGGACACCAAGGCTTCTGCACGCTGAGACTATAAGAATCAGATGATGCGTCTAGTTCTTGTATTTTTTGGCTTTCAGTCCCACTGGGAGCCTCTACCCTCATCTTCAAGCTGCTTACCTCCTGACTCACAGCAGTTTTATCTTCTTCTAAGTGCAACAGGGATAGTTGAATCAAGGATATCACCTCTTTAGAGACCAGCACCCATGATTGCTGTAGAGGGAAAGATGGCTAGGCTTGATCACATAAAGCCACTAAGTAGAAAGGAAGCAGGAACACTGGCAAGGAAAGTCACTGACCCTCACTTCAAGTTCCCAACAGGGAGGAGATGTCCGTACAAAGGTTTGGAAACCTCCCTTCTCTATCAGGGCTAAGTACCACCGTCTGCTAACTACCCAGGATTCCCCATTCTTGCTCTTCACAGGAGACTCAGTGGTGGTCTAAGGCCAGTCAACACTTACCATGACACTCCTGGCCTGCTGCAGAGTCTGTCCAATCTCTTGGCAATTCTGAAGCTGCTGAGGTTTCTCAGTTATCTAGCCAGAGGAAAAGATGCATTTTTTTTTTGAAGAGGCAACATGCACTGCCAGCACCTCATCTTCCCTTGTTCCTATCGCTTGAGCTACAGAGGGCTTTTCTACTAAAAGCAGAAGCAAGGCTCACAGCTAAATGAAGGTAACTCAGAAAAAAAAAAAAAAATTCCTTTTTATTATTATTATTTTTATTTTTCTAATCATAAAGATAATACATGTTCATTGTAAAATTTTAGGAAATCCTGAAGGCTTAAGACCATAGTCTCGGGGGACATCAAGGTCAGCTGGCATAACATTGTCCACAAAGAAAATGTTCTACATTCTACTCTGAGTGAGTAGCGACCAGGATCTTAAAAGCTGGTGAGCAGCCATGAAAGGTGCAATTATTGGTGTCTCCACATCCAGAGGAAAGAGGAGTGAAGAAAGTAAGACACATGGGAACAGTCAGTCCAGAGGACTAATGGACCACACAAATCTCAGTCTCCACAACCCCGGGACCAGAATTAGAGATGCCCAGCTACCATCAACCGCTCTGGAAGGGATCACGTTAGGAGGTCCTGGAAAGAGTGGGACAAAAATGTGGAACAAAACTCAAAATCATAAAAAAGATCAGGCTTACTGGTTGGATAGAGACTGGTAGAAACCTCAAGGCTTGTGGCCCTTAGTCACCCTTTGGACCTGGAACTGAACTAGCCCTTGTGACTCAAGTTTCAGCCAAATAATAGACATGTCTACAAGGTAAACAACAACACAAGGAGGCACACACTCCTTAGAACAATCAACAATTTGGAGATCAAAAGGGCAGCATTTGCCCAACAGCAAAGTCCAGAAGGCAGGAAGGGTTAGGAAAGGAGGAGGAATGGAAACAAGAAACATAGGAAGGAAGTAGGATGAGTGATTGTTACATTGAAGGGATTGCAATCAATGACATCAAACAGTATGTGCATGAACTGTTGAATGGAAGATTAATTTGCTCTGTAAACTTTCACCCAAATCACAATAAAAGTTAATTTTTTTTCTTTTTTAAATACAGAAGTGGATAAAAATACAATAGAAATCATTAAAAATTTCATCACCTAGAGCAGTGATTCTTAACCAATAGGACAGGACACACTCCAGTGATTCAGTTATACCTGCACACTAGAGATTTACTATAGAGAGTTCCTGTAACTGAGGAGTATACTGTTTCTCTCAGGTGTCAGGGGAAAAAAAAGTTGTAGACCATTGATTTAGAAATAAGTTACCATATTCAATAAATTCTAAGGTAAGTATTTTTTCACATTTTGACATCTCTAAAATTAGGATGCACCTTAATACTGATGGTATCTTTGATTTAATGAAATACTAATGCTTAAGAAAAATCACAATTGAGATTATAATATATAAATTTGGGGTCCTATTTTTATTACTGAATTGTATTGCTGCTATTGTTATTTAGACCTACATTTATATTTGCCCTTTCCACTATACTATCCCATTTCAGGGGACCTATCAAAATGGAATACCATCACCTCAAATCCTCTCAGAAATGATTTGACCCCTGATTTCCTTTCTTCCAAAACCATGAAATTGATGTTAATTTTACCATGATACTAAAAACTTTTCATAAATATAATTTTTAAAATTTTTGGTTTATAGAATATTCTATCTTACAGGTAACTCTTCATTTTTTTTAATCTCTTTTGTCATTATTTTAAAAAGCAAAATCATAACATGTCACCATCTTTATGCAAATTTTTTTTTTCCTTAGGATATAACCTCAGAAGTGGGGCTACTGGGTCAAAGAGTGTGAATTATTTTAAGGGTCTTGCTTAAATTGCCTTCCAAAAAGGTTGAACCAATTTATACTCCACCAACAATAAGATAGGCTTATCAGGATTATCTATGTTATTCTTTGCTATTTTATCAGAAGAAAATGGCATCTCATTGTTTGAATTTTCATTTCTTTGATTACTAGTAAAGTTAATCTTTTCACTGTATTTATCTGTCATTTTTATTTTCTTATTCTTTAATTATCTGTTCATTATCTTGGGACAGATAAGAACTTAATGTAGAGTAGATAAAGATTATCTCAAAGACAGCAGAGCCCTAGAAAGACTTTAAAGTTCTGAAAGAAAAAGTGGGGAGCCTTCATTACTGCTGAAAGGTAATGAAAAGTGACTGCTGAGCAGCAGTGCTGAGTCATGATGGTGCAGCAGCCTGGTTTTAAGGAGGCAGAGTCCTATTTCCCTCAACTCTTTTAGTGCTCACTTCCCTGAGAGCCTCCACCTGAGAGCCCCTCCAGTAAAGCAGTCGTCACCCCCTACTGCATCGTGCAGCAAGGCACGCAGTACCCATGAGCCCTGGACAGGGCCCACACACTGTTCAGAGCTGGGCAGTCAGGCGGGTGATGAGATTAGCATGACGAGGCAGCCAAACGCAAGGACATGGCACAGTGATGGGGAATGGCTGAAGGAGATTGATTCATTTACCCTCTTTAGTTCTGTTTCAGTGGCCTCCAAAGAGATCTGACAAGCTTCAGCCAAAGAGGGTGCAAGGCAGATTCAGGGATAGGGCATAAAGTCAAGGATAAGAAGAAAGGATACAGAAATAAGAAAACACAGGTAAGAAAATGAGCAGCTAGAGGAATGAGGAGTCTGTGGACTCCAAGATTTCTGGCAAGAGGTAAAGTCATTACTTTGAGGATATTTTTAACCTACAAGATGTCTTTGGGATTGTGGGCACATCTCATTCTTAGCAGCAGCTATCTGTTACCTAACTTGCCACAATACTGAGGCTCTCAATTCCTTCTCCTGATACCATTCCCTTCCTTTCTAGGCCTATATTTTTGACTCTTTAATCCAGTAACCCCACTTCTAAGGATATATCCTAAAGAAAAAAATTCTGCATAAGATGGTAACATGTTATGCTTTTCTAAATAATTGAAAAAGAGATGTAAAACGATGAGCTACCTATAAGATGGAATATTCTATAGTCATTAAAAAGTATGTTTATGAAGAGTTTTTAACTCTAGAACAATGGTCTTTATTATTTTTCCACTCATATCCCTGCCATAATTTTGAAAGACTAAGCACCCTTAATGTTTCATTGCTATTCATAAAGTTTTCCAATAATAATAATCTATCAGACAATGACTCACTGCTATTCATTGGAATATATGAAATATGAATCTAGGAAAATTGAAAGTTGTTAAAAATAAAACAGAATGCATAAAGATTGATATCCTAGGCATTAGTGAGCTGAAATGGACTGGTATTAGCCATTTGGAATCAGACAATCATGTGGTCTACTCTGCCAAGAATGACAAATTGAAGAGGAATCAAGTTATACTCATGGTCAAAATGAACATTTCAAGATCCATCCAGAACTACAAAGCTGTCGGTGATAGGATAATACCCATATGCCTATAAGGAAGACCAGTTTATATTACTATTATTCAAATTTATACATCAATGAGTAAAGCCAAAGATAAAGAAATTGAAGGATTTTTACCAACTTCTGCAGTCTGAAACTGATGAAACATGCGATCAAGATGTATTTATAATTACTGGTGATTAGAATGCAAAAGTTGGAAACAAAGAAGCAGCATTGGTAGTCGAAAAATATGGCCTTGGTAAAATAAATGATGCTGGAGACTGCATGATAAAATTTTATAAGACCAGTGACCTATTCATCGGAAATATCTTTTTTCAACAACATAAATGGTAACTATACATACATGTGGACCTCACCAGATGGAATACACAGGAATAAAATCTGCTACATCTGCAGAAAAAGATGATAGAGAAGCTTGATATCATCAGTCAGAACAAGGCCAGGGGCTGACTGAGAAACAAACCATCAAATGCTCATATGCAAGTTCAAGTTGAAGCTGAAGACAATTAAAACAAGTCCATGAGAGCCAAAATATGATTGGGTATATCCCACCTGAACTTAGATATCATTTTAAGAACAGACTTGATGCACTGAACACTAATGACCAGAGACTGGATGAGTTGTGGGATGACATCAAGCACGTCATACATGAAGAAAGCAAAAGGTCATTAATCAGACAGGAAAGAAAAAAAAGACCAAAATGGATGTCAGAAGAGACTCTGAAGCTTGCTCTTGAACACAGAATCACTAAAGCAAATGGAAGAAATGATAATATAAAAGAATTGAGCAGAAGATTTCAAAGGGTGGCTCAAGAAGACAATGTAAAGTATTAAAACAAAATGTGCCAAAACCTGGCAAAAGGGAAGAACATGCTTGACATTTCTCAAGCTGAAAAAAAACTGAAGAAAGAATTCAAGCCTCACATTGCAATATTGAAGGATTCTATGAGCAAAATATTGAACAATGTGAGAAGCATCAAAAAAATATGGAGGGACTACACAGAGTCACTGTACTAAAAGGAACTGGCTGACATTCAGCTATTTTGGGAAGTAGTATATGATCAAGAATCAATGGTGCTGACGAAAGAATTCCACACTGCCCTGAAGAAATCAGGAAAAAACAAGCCTCCAGAAATTGATGGAATACACATTAAAGAGTTTCAACAAATAGATGCAGCACTGGAGGCATTCACTCATTTATGCCAAGAAATTTAGAAGACAGCAACCTGGCCAACTGACTGAAAAAGATCCATATTTGTGCCCATTCTAAAGAGAGGTGATCCAACAGAATGGGGAAATTATCAAACCATATCATTAATATCACAAACAAGTAAAATTTTGCTGAAAAAAATTAAAAAACGGTTGTTGTTGTTGTTGTCGTTGTTATGTGCCGTCGAGTCGGCCCCGACTCAGCAACCCCTCCTTGGGTTTCCGAGGCAGCATCACTACGGAAGTAGGATTGCCCAACCTTCCTTCTGAGGAGTGGCTGGTAGGTTTGAACCGCCAGCCTTCTGGTTAGCAGTCAAATGCTTTAGCCACTATGCTACCAGAGCTCCTAAAAAAAAAAAAAAAAAAGGTTATAGTAGTATATTGACAGGGCACTACCAGAACGTTCAAGCCAGATTCAGAAGAGGACATGGATAACATTGCTGATGTCAGCTGGATCCTGGCTGAAAGTAAAGAATACCAGAAAGATGTTTACCTGTGTTTTTTTGATCATACAAAAGCATTTCGGTATGTGGATCATAACAAATTACAGATAGCATTGCAAAGAATGGGAGTTCCAAAACAACTGTGCTCATGAGGAACCTGTACAGAGACCAAGAGGCAGTTGCTTGAACAGAACAAGGGGATACTTCAGAGTTAAAACCAGGAAAGGTATGCATCAGGGTTGTCCTTTCACCATACTTATTCAATCTGTATGCTAAGCAAATAATCCAGTAAACTAGACTATATGAAGAAGAATGCGGCACCAGGACTGGAGGAAGACTTATTAACAACCTGTACTATGCAAATGACACAACCTTGCTTGCTGAAAGTGAAGAGGACTTAAAGCATTTACTAATAAAGATCAAAGACTGCAGTCTTCTGTATGGATTACGCCTCAAAATAAAGAAAACAAAAATCCTTACAAATGGACCGATCAACAACATTATGATAAATGGAGAAAAGATTGAAATTATCAGAAATTTCATTTTCTTGGATCCAGAATCAATGCTCATAGAAGCAGCAGTCAAGAAATCAGATGATGTATTGCACTGGGTAAATCTGCTGCAAAAGACTTCTTTAAAGTGTTAAAGAGCAAAAATGTCACTTTGGAGACTACAGTATGCCTGGCCTAAGCCATGGTATTTTCAGTCACCTCATAGGCATGTGAAAGCTGGCAATGTCTAAGGAAAACTGAAGAAGTGATGCACTTGAATTGTGGTACTGGCAAAGAATAGTGACAAAACCATGGACTTCAAGAAGAACGAACAAATATGTCTTGAAAAAAGTACAGCCGGAATGCTCCTAAGAAGCGAGAATGGCAAAATTTCATCTCACAGACTATGGTCACATGGTCAGAAGAGACCATTCCCTGGAGAAGGATAGATCATGCTTAGTAAAGTAGAGGAGCAGAGAAAAAGAAGAGCCTCAATGAGATGAACTGACACAGTGGCTGCAATGACAGGCTCAAGCCTAGAAAGATTATGAAAACGGCAGTGTTTCATTCTGTTGTGCATAGGGTTGCTGTACGTCTAAGCCAATTCAATGGTACCTAACAACACCACCAACAAGCACCCTTAAGTTTAAATCATTATAAAGGCTGTAATTCCAAGCATATTTTAAATACTGACAGTTTGAAATAAAACTTTTAAATAAAAGAACCCAAACCAAAACCTAGTGCCATCAAGTCGATTCTGACTCATAGCAACCCCAATTTGGTTTCCAAAACAGCAAATCTTTACAGAAGTAGGTTGCCTCATCTTCCTTCTGGGGAAGGTTGCCTCATCGCTCTGGGGAGCGGCTGGTGGGTTTAAACTGCCAACCTTCTGCTTAGCAGTGAAATGCCATAGGTGCTGCGCCACCAGAGCTCCTTAACTTTTAATCACTCTTAATTGTTTCCAATGGCATAAACAGCACATACACCAAAATATTTTGATATCCTTTTAAAAAATGAACAAGCTCTTTACCAGTCAAAAAATTTTTATATCATTTCTTTTTCTCTTTCAACTTCTATTTTTATTCCTCATAGAATTTTATTGTAATGTGATATATTTTTATACTTTAAATTCTATGATTAATCACCATATCATACAACTCTGCAACAACAATAACAAAAAAAGTACGTATATTTATATTAAAATTTATTTTAAATTCTTCTAGCCAGAAGGCTTAAGTGAAAAAAACTTTCTTTTGGATGGAAAAATATTTTCATCAATTGTAATATTAAGCATTGTAATAATAGTAAAAGTTTTATAAAAATCATAAGCATGCCCAGTAACATTTTTTGGGGAATCATCTGTTAATGAAATGGACAGACCTTCCCTCCCTTCATTAGTTCATGTATCTAGGGATTACTATAATTCTTAGAATAAAACAAGGTGTGTTGCTTTTAAGGTTGAGCAACAAATCTATGCCTAATATTCATTCTTATACATGTAAGTACTGAGAAATCTTGTTCACATAAATAATGGGAATAAGTAGGAATGGAAGAAGGGAACGCCTTTTGAGAAATATGCCAAAATCACATTGTAAAATATTATCAAAAATTCTTAATAATCCAGTGACATAAAGTTTTCTTTCAGCTGTATTGAAAACACGCACCAAAAAAACACAAATGTTATGTAGTCATTTCAGTCATTTGCTTTCTCAACATGTGCATGAATATTTTCCATTGTCCTTGAGATAAGGGACTTGACTGCTAACTGGAAGGTCAGCAGTTCAAACCCACCAGCTGCTCTGCGGAAGGAAGTCTTGGTGATGTACTTCCATAAAGATTTACAGCCTCAGAAACCCAATGGGGGTTGCTATGAGTCAGAAACGACTCAATGGCAATGAGGTTTTTTTGACTGGTATCTTGAGACAATGTAAGACTTGGATAGGTAGTATGTTCCTCTTTAGTAAAGTGGGAAAGGGCAATTGAGAATGGAGAAGTAGAAGAGAAGAAATTTGGAAGATGAAGATCTAGAAACTGATTTCTTTAAAACTTTCCTTGAAATAGTTGTATAACTTGAAGAATGTAATCAATGTCACTATATTGTACAGAGAGAAATTATTGAATTGGTGTATGACCTGCTATGCATATTCTCAACAGCAACAACAAAATAAATTATTAAAACAAAACAACACTCTCCTTGCAAGCATTCCCCTTGGAAAGTCTTGACATCCCCCAGTGTACTGTGAGTACCTATAGCTTTAAGGGATTTTCCAGATCTTCTCTTCTATAAATTAGACTGTGGGTAACAGTCCCTTAATCCTGGAAGCCTGCATTCTAAGACAGAAGGACTACTGGGGTTCTCTAACCTTTGGGAGGAACCTTCTTACCCCACTGGGAGAATCATTAGTCTGTGTGCTGTTGTCCTGTGCTCCTGGGTAAGGGACAGCCAGCTGACTCTTCCAGTCCCGTAACTGGCGGGAGAGAACCTCCAAAATGACAAGAGAGCTCAGCAGGTTCTCTTCCAGGTCATGTCGAGATAAAGCAGTCAGATCTGGAGGATGGCTGCAGCGGGAAGGAAAGAACATGAGGACAATAAAAGGAGGGAAAAGGATGGGAGTGATGGGTTTAGAGTAATGCAGACAGGAGACACAAGGATTTAGGGACACTTACCCCCACATGAGGTGCTCTGTCTCAGAAGTACTATCCTTAGTGCCCACCAGGCCTTTTTGGGATGTGTTGGTACTCTTTTCCTGTACGGCTGGGGGAGTAAGCCAAGTCCCCACTGAGTAAGTAGAGAAGGGGGATGTGCCAATCGTAGCATCCCGAAGCACAGAAGGGAGGGACAAGCTCTGGCAGAGATTTTCTAGCATGACTGAGGTATTTACACCTTTTTCGAGCCAAGCCAGTGGAGACATCCAGGGCCCTGTGTCAGAGATGGGAATCCTACCAGCATCTTCCACTGCTGGGTCTGGAGCTGCCTCGGATACCATTTCCACTGGATTTGGTGTTAGGCATGTGGACAGAATATCTTCTGTAATTGAGACAAGTGCTTGATCTTCTAATGCAGCGTCCTCAGGGTGAGTTGGAAAGCTTATTTCTCTTTCCTGTATCACTCTGTGCTCTCCAGTCTCTTCCCCTGGGTCCACATGACTGACAGGGATATCTGTTTCCAAAGCAGTTGAAGGGGAACACCAGAGCATGAAGGAGGACAAGAAGGCATTACTTTCAGAAGGAACTAAGTTCTCAGCCACAGCTTCAGTCCTATTGTCCGTCAGGCTTTTCTCGGGGCAGTGTAGTTGTTGCTCAGAGCAGGGATTTGGTGGAACCTCCAAAAGACTGCATGGGGGATCCTGAAATGCAGGTTTCTCAGACATAGCAGCAACTTCCAAAAAACTATCTTCTGTGCAGGGTGCCATCTCCTCTCTTACTAGATCTCCTGGCCTCAAAGGCTCATCTAGAGAGATGCTATTTTTCTCTGCTATGGCACCTAAATGGGCCTCAAGTGTAATGTCTTGCTGCTGCCCTGTTGGAGAGGGTACAAGGACCATGTTTTTAACTGGATCATTGTCCAGTGGGTCAGCTGCTTTCTCAGATGTTTTGGGAGTAGAGTTGGTTTGAGGAATCTCTTCTAGGAGCTCATCTGATTCATGCCACTTTGAGGGAGGGCTGAATAGCTCTGAAGGGGAATCTGTCCTCTTGGTACCAACAAAATCTAGTGGAGATGAGCTGTTGCTGCTTTTCTGCAAAAGAAAACAAAAGCAGTTGACTAAGGCAGTCATCTCAAGTTCCCAATAGACAATTATGGATGCAGGATACTGAAACTGTCCAAATTCAAAAAAGGAAAGAGTTCTTATTACTTCTGCTTAAGCAAGAATTTAGCTAATCCATGCTGCTTACTACAGAAACCCAATAGGAGGGGAAGAGAAGTTGGTAAATTATTTAGGGCCAAAACTAAGATAATCTGCCCATATCATAGGGAGACAGTCGCTTGAATGTATCCCAGCTCCCTTCCATTCCTAACTTGAACCAACTTCAAGGGGAAAAGGTAGGAGGGATGTGTAGGACGTAAATGAAGGCTCAAGTTCTGTCAGGACCCAGAGCTGGTACATTTTCTCCCTTATGATGAGAATTTTGGGACCAGAGTCAGACAGCCAGGGACAATCATTGGAATATGGTAGATCCTAGCAAGCATGTGGCCCACAGAGATCCGTGGACCCCAGGGATAAAGGGTAACATCAACCTATGCCAGTGGCCTAGTCTCCCTGGCCCCCAAGACCTGAGGGCATGCCAAACACATGGATTAAATACATTCGACCCTTGGGACTTGAAGAGCTCTAGTCTTTATAGCACAGGTGACTAAAAAGGAGACTTCTTTCTGGTGTCCTGACAAGGGACTGAAAACCTACTTACTGCTGGTTCACAGCGACAGAGACCACTGCATTTTCTACCACTTGCAGGACTGTTGCCACTTAAGGTACTCCACTGGCTGGATCTGAGGCTCAATGAGCAAGAAAAGGAAGTAATAATATACTTAAGTGCATACAGCAGCTAGAGAAAGAACAAATCCTAAGACAGTTAGAAAATATAAACCCTAACAAAACAGAGCTGCTAGAAGAGACAGATGACCATCTGAACCAAAATAAAGGGAAGAAATGTTGAGTACTTAAGATTTAAATGCAATACACCCAAAAAAAAGACTTTCTGAAAATAGTAAGCAATACTTTTAAACTAAAAATGTCAGTAAAATAAAAGGGGATGGTCAGAGTTGAGACTGGGATTCTGGCCAGGAAGATCAAGTGGAAGAAACCTTAAACCAAAGAGTGGAAGAAATCTTAAACCAAAGATAAAAATGCAAAGAAATGTAAATCCAAGGGACAAGCTAAGATAATTGGATGATAAATCTAGGAAACCTAACATGAGAATAAAAGAAGTACCAGAAGTACCAAAAATATCTGTAGAAATTGTTGAATTAGTGAAAGTTTTGCTGTATATATTTTATGCACAAAATATTTTATATGACAAAAAAAAAAAAAAAAACTAAAAAAAAAAACTCAAAATCATTAAAAAAAAAAAAAGGGACCAGGTTTGCTGGTCCAATAGAGCCTGATGGAACCACTGTGACTATGGCTCCTAGCTGCCCTTCAGATCTGGAATTGAACCTACTCCTGTGGCTTCCAGCCAAACAAAAGACAGGCATATGAACTAAACATGAGGTAGATAACACTCCTTGGAAAGATCAATCATTGGAGAATAGAAGGGCTGTGTATCTACAGGGAGACAGCTGGGGAGGGGGTCAGGAGTGCATGAGAGGGGGGCAGGAGTGCTTGGGAGGGGAGGATACAGGGAAGAGGTAACTACCGGGGAGAAGTGGGAGGAAAGCTGTTGCATTGTGGGAAACTGCAGGCCATGTCATGAGACAAAGCATATGTAAGCTACTGTATGGAAAGTGAATTTGCTCTATAAACTTTCACCCAAATTACAATAATTTTTTTTTTAAAGTTCCAGAAGAAAAGAGAACATATACAGATGAAGTGCTGATTAAACAAATAATTCACCAAGTTCTAAGCAGGAATGACAAGAAAAGATACATGTCAAAACACATAATGGTAAAAATTTTTCAATTACAAAGAAAACAAAACTATTTTAGAAGCTTTAGACAAAAAGACCATTTACTCATACACATACATACACACAAAACTTACATGAAATTTGAAATTTCTCGTTCACAGTAGTAGATGAAGCTTAAAAATGTAAGGTTGCACTAAAGAAGTCAGATACCATTTGTATGGCATTTAAAAGCAGACTAAAATTGTGCTTAGGATATAAAAATATAGGCAGTAAAACTGTAAAGGAAGGAAATAATTACCATAATAGTCAGAAAAGTACCACATATTCACATATAATGCACCCATGTAAATAATACACACATACATATAAAGCTCATAGCTGCGAGGTCGTGCTGTTTGCAAAAACCATATAATTAAACAAACAAAATATATATATATATATATATATATATATATATATATAATGCCCATGCTATTGGTGTGAAAATATGGGAGATGGGTTTGTCATGAGAAGGACTTCTGACACTATGCTATTTACTGACTTAAGTGTTGGTTACAGCACTATTATGATAAAAGACAAAATGAAGTTAAAATATACAAAAATAACAGAAATCAGTAACCAGTAAACAGCCCAGATGCTAAAAATATAGAAAGCAAAGACTATTAGAAATGCAAAAGCTCAACTTCAGAAAGTTTTTGCTATGTTTTTAAAGTTCTTATTTATTCCTTTTTAAAAATTACCTTAAAACACCTCTCTGAAAATTCAACAGAGCTGGAAGACTAAAAAACATGTAAAGACAGAATAATTATCCACTGATAGATACAAATAGAATCTAACACATTTTGAACATTAAATACGTTTCTCTTCATATGTTCATTGAACACTTAGAAAAATTCATTCTGCATCTGATCACACACACACAAAAAGGTTACAATCTGATCATAATGTAAGAAAATAAATTAAAAGGTGACCCCCCCCCCAAAAAAAAGTGGTCTTTAAACACTTGGAAATTAAGAACTCCTCCTAGATAAACTGTGTCTTAAAGATAAAAACCAAAAGAAAATTATAAACTAGCTAAATGTGGAGAAGTGTATATAATACGATCCTATGATTAAAATAACTATGCATGTATACATATTACTAAAAGAACACAGAACAATATGGAAGGATAAATACCAGGTTGTTAAAATATGAGTTGGTTACTTGTTATGTGCGGGAAGGATTGATTCCAGAAAGGCAAAAGGGAGAGGAAAGGTGGAACTAAGCAAAAAAAGAAGAAGGAAGTGGGGAAGGAGAAGGACAAAAAAAAAAAAAAAAAAAAAAGGATTGCATTTTTGGGGAAAAAAAGTGTCTTAATAAGAAAGTACAATAATAAATATATATCTCAGCTCTAAAGAAACTAAGAATTTGGTACAGTGAGGTGCTGCTCTAACAGATACCTAAAATGTAGAAGTGGTTTTAGAATTGGGTAATGGAGGAGTTTTAAGATGTCCAATAGTAAAAGGCAAGATTGCCTTAAAGAGACTTTTGGTAGAATTATGGATGTCAAAGGCAATTCTGGTAAGGGCTCAGAAACAGTGAAGAGAGCTATAGAGAAAGTGTCTATCATTTTGGAGCATATATATGGAACCATCAAGAGAATGTTGCTAGACATGCGGACATTAAATGTGCTTCTGGTAAGCTTTAAAAGGAAATGATGAATATGTGATTGGACAACGGAGAAAGGGCAGTGCCTCTTATGCAGTGGCAAAGAACGTGTCTGAATTATGTTCAAATGATAGGTGGAAGGAAGCACTTGTAAGTGATACACTTGGATTTTGGCTGAGGAGATTTCTAAGCAAGATAATAAAAGGCCATGTAATTTGTCCTTGCCACTTACAGTAAAATATGAGAGGAAAGAGATAGACTTGAAAATGAACTATGCAAAATGAAAACAGAACTTAAAGACTTAGAAAATTCTGTTGTACAAACTAAGGACACTTCCTAGAATTTTCACCAAGGACAGGGCTACACAATCTTTTGTTAAAGAAATGAATCCTCTGGCCACCACAGCAGAAAACCCATCCGTTTAGACTGAAGAGAGCAAAGACAGGATAAAATGAAGGACAGCTGTCTGCCTCTTGAGATTATGCAAGCAGGAAACAGGCCAATGGAGCTACTTGGTTACAAACATTTGTTGTCTTCCTCCAAGAAAAGAAAAGGATCATCCTGGTGCAGTCTGGATATCAGCTGTTAGAAGAAACAGGGCTAGAAGCAGGACTGCCTAGGTTTCAAAGAGCCCATTCTCCATCATCTCAGTTCAGGAAGGTAGAGTCACCACTCAGATGGGCTAGGAGAATGGGACTGCCCAAAGCCAAGGGAGCAGAGTTGCTATCCCAGTAGCCTGAAAGGCAGAGGTGGCTCCAATATGAGAGGCCTCCACCCATAATACAAAGAGTGTGGACAATACCCAGAGTCTGGGGCCATTGCCCACATGGTCCTAGAGATTTCCAAGCCTTAAGAGCTAATGCAATTTGTTCTGCTGAGTTTTGGACTGGCTTGGTGTCCGTGAATCTTTCTTTTCCTCCAATTTCTCCCATTTGTAATGGAAAGGTCTACTCTGTATTTGTTCCACCATTGCAATTTAGAAGCAAATCACTTGTATTCTAGGTTTCACAAGTCTACTTTGTTGTTGTTAAGTGCCGTCGAGTCGTTTTCGACTCATAGCGACCCCATGCACAGCAGAATGAAACACTGCCTGATCCCGTGCCAGCCCCACAATCCCTGCTATACTTGAGGCCATCATCACAGCCACCGTGTCATTCCATCTCGTTGAAGGCCTCCCCCTCTTTCGTCGACCCTCCACCCTACCAAGCATGACATCCTTCTCCAGGGAATGGTCCCTTCTTACAACATGACCAAAATAGGTGAGACGAAGTCTGGCCATTCTTGCTTCCAAGGAGCATTCTGGCTGCACTTCCTCCAGGACAGATCTGTTAGTTCTTTTAGCAGTCCATGGTACTTTCAGCATTCTCTGCCAGCACCACAACTCAAAAGCATCAACTCTTCTTTGGTCTTCCTTACTCATTGTCCAGCTCTCACATGCATACGAGGTGATTGGAAAGTCTACTAATGGAAGGGAATTTTGCCTCAGGATGCAACACACCCAAAATCTCACCCATACTTGATTTAG